CCCTTCATCAGAAAAAGCTTTTTCTGATGAAGGGTCTAGGCCTGAAACGTCAGCCTTTCTGCTCCTATGATGCTGCTTGGCCTGCTGTGTTCATCTAGCCCTGCACCTTGTTGTCTCGGATTCTCCAGCATCTGCAGTTCCTACTATCTCCTTGTGTTAAAGATTTTCTTCTTCAGCTTTTCCCAACAATTAACAATAATTTTAACAATGTTTATTTAATAATTCAATGATTTTCCTTTCAGCTTTTCAGCCTAGAATTACCCTTTAAATATGAAGGTATCACCCTTTCTCAAAGGGACTTAACTTCCATTGGGATTCCAATATCACCTGCTGCATCTGCCCTTATGATCTGAATATTTCCATTTGTTGCTCGGGTAAGACTCTTTGTGGTTTACTGAAGTTTCTTTCACTGTTTTGAGCTTTTACAAGCTGGTTTAGTGCTGATGTTCTTTTGTAGAAACATAGAAAATAGGAGGTGGAGTAGGCCATTTGGCCATACGTGCCTGCTCTGCTACCTTTTTGTTCAAGGCTGATCATCCAACTCAATAGCCTATTCTCGCATTTCCCCCATATCCTTTGATCACTTTAACCCCAAGTGCTATACCCAACTCCTGCTTGAAATTATGCAATATTTTGTCTTGACTGCTTTCTGTGGTAGTGAATTCCACAGATCCACCACTCGTCAGGCACAGTTATTTCTCCCCCTCTCAGTCCTAATGGCTTACCCCATCTCCTTGCACTATGATTGCTGGTTGTGGACACCCCTATCATCGGGGAAATTTTTCCTGCATCTACCCTGTTTTGTCCTGTTAGAATTTTATGTTCCACGCTCCCTCCCCAACCACGACCCCCGCTACCACCACATCCCCCACCCCGGCTCATTGTTCTGAATTTCAGGAAATATAATCCTGACTAATTCAATCTGTCCTCACATGTCAGAGTCAGTCTGGTAAACCATCACTGCACTCCCTCTATAGCAAGAACATTGTTCCTGATTTCAATCCTTCACTGTTGGTGCTGCATTCAATAAAACTGACAGGTTCTGTGTGCTTTTCAGGTGTTGAATATTTCAAGATATTCTTAGATTTATAACGGGAATTTTAAAAAAAGTTCTTTGCTTCATAAGGCTGGAGCATTTGTAAGTCTGAAGATGTCTTCAGGCTTTTACAGCCATTGCTACCATATTACCATTGGCAACATCTTCATTGCTGTCACCATCTTATAACAAGACCATAAAGCCATAAGAAATAGGACCCGGAGTAAATCATTTGGCCCTTCGAGCCAGATTCACCATTCAATAGGATCAAGGCTGATCTGGCATTCCTGTTGTCCACTTTCCTGCCTTTTTCTCTTAATCCTTCATTTTCTGACTGAAGAATCAGTGTGTTGAGTGTCCAAGTTGCCAGCATGAGTGTGTGACTGAGGGTCCATAGAATCCCTACAGCATGGAAACAGGCCATTCGGCCCAACAAGTCCATACCGACCCTCTGAAGAGCATCCCAACCCGACTCACCCCCCGCACCCTATCCCTGTAACCCTGCATTTCCCATAGCTAACACACCTAACCTACACATCCCTGAACACTATGGGCAATTTAGCATGGCCAATCCACCTAGCCTGCACGTCTTTGGATTATGGGAGGAAACCGGAGCACCCGAAGGAAACCCACGCAGACATGAGGAGAACATGCAAACTCCACACAGACAGTCGCCCGAGGGTGGAATCGAACCTGGGTCCCTGGTGCTGTGAGGCAGCAGTGCTAACTACTGAGCCACTGTGCTGCCCGAGTCTCGTGTAAATTCATTGTCAGCAATAATTCTTGGTATTAGTCCAAATAATTGATACCACTTAGGAAGAATGTCTACACAAAGTCTTTGTCAGAAGTTGGTTTGGTTTTGATGAACAGTATTTACCAGTTAGTTACATTGCAATGAGATTATTGAGTCTTGTGAGACAATAGGCTTAGCTTAAGAATAAGGTGATGTTATTGTTACCGAAACAAGGTTGTACACAACTTTGAGACAACTGAACAACTGCATAATTGGCCAAGTCAAACCATTTAGCTTTGCCCAGGAACAGGGTCCGCCTTCAGGATGCAGATGACTATCTCACGAAATCAGTTAATTCTTTCAGATACCGAGTGACTAATGGAAACTAGCTCCCTCACGTAGAAGAACAGAGCACTGTTGTCAGGCAAGTTCATCAACAATAGAAAGAAGTTCACAGCCACTCCCCAAGGACATCTAGAATGCAGACCTGGCTGTGGGCAATTCTGGAGAAGGAGAAGAGCATACCTGAGGAAAGGTATAGGGTCAATGCTCAAATTACCACCATATGTCAATGTGCCAGTTTCTTCAAAGGCTGCAACCCATGGTGGTGGCAGCTTCATCCTTATTTTTGTTCATTCAGGGGATGTGGATATCACTAGCTGAGCCAACATCTATTGCCCTTGGTTTGTTGCTTATGAGAGAGGGTGGTGGTGAGCTGCCTTCCTGAACCACTGTCGTCCATGTTCTGCAGGTAGACCCACAATGCTGTTAGGAGGGAATTCCAAGGTTTTGTCTTCTTAAACCGCTGCATTCCTCCTGCTGTGGGTTGACCCACAATGTTATTAGGGAGGGAATTGCAGGATTTTGACCCAGCGACAGTGAAGGAATGGTGATATATTTCCAAGTTAGGATGGTGAGTGGCTTGGAGGGGAACTTGGAGGTGGTGGTGTTCCCATGTGACTGTTTCCCTTGTCCTTCTAGATGGAAGAGGTCATAGATCTGTTTGAGGATCTTTGGTAAATTTCTGCAGTGCATCTTGCAGCTAGTACACACTGTTGCTACTGAGCGTCGGTGGTGGAGGGAGTGGATGTTTGTGGCTGTGGTGCTAATCAAGCGGCTGGTTTATCCTGGATGGTGTCAAGCTTCTTGAGTGTTGTTGGGGCTGCACTCATCCAGGCAAGTGGGGGAGTATTCCATCACACTCCTGACATGTGCCTTGTAGATGGTGGACAGGCTTTGGGGAGTCCGGAGGTGAGTTACTCGCTGTAGTATTCCTAGCCTCTGACCTGCTGTTGTATTTATCTGCTGGGTACAGTTAAGTTTCTGGTCAATGGTAACCACTAGATGTTGATAGTGGATTCAGTGATGGTGACACGAATGCATGTCAAAGAGCGATGGTTATAATATCTTTTATCAGAGATGGTCATCGCCTGACATTTGTATAATGCAAATGTTACTTGCTGCTTTTCAGTTTAAGCCTGAATATTATCCAAGCTTTGTTGCATTTGAACATGGACTGCTTAGGTATCTGGGGACTCATGAATGCTGCTGAACATTGAGCGATCATCAGCAAACACCCCCACTTCTGACCTTATGATGGAGGGAAGGTTATTGATGAAGCAGCTGAAGATGATTGGGCCGAGGACACTACCCTGAGGAACTTCTGCAGACATGTCCTGGAGCTGAGATGACTGACCCCCAATAACTTCAGCTGTCTTCCAGCAGAGAGTTTGCTCCAATTCCTACTGATTCTAGATTTGTTCAGTGTCCTTCATATCACATTCAGCCAAATGTGGCCTTAATATCAGAGGCTGTCACTCTAACCTCAAAGAACACCCTTGAGTGACTGTCTGTGTGGAGTTTGCCCATTCTGTGTGGGTTTCCTCCGGGTGCTCCGGTTTCCTCCCACAGTCCAAAGATGTGCTGGTCAGGCCAATTGGTCATGTGAAACTTCCCCTAGTGCCCAGGGATGTGCAGGTTATGTGGGTTAGCCATGGGAAATGCAGGGCTATAGGGATGGGGTAGGGGGAGGTGGGTCTGGTTGAATGGTCTTCAGAGGCTCGGTGTGGACTTGATGGGTTGAATGGCCTGATTATTTGCTGTAGAGATTCTATGAATAAAGAACTGTACAATACAGGAATTCAGCCCACCAAAACTGGGCCAACATATGACACCTTGCTAAACCAAAAATCTTTTGCCTCTATATGGTCTGTATCCTTCTATTCCCTGCCTATTCATATATCTGTCAAGATGCCTCTTAAACGTTACTATCGTATCTGCCTCCACCACCTCCTCTGGCAGCACATTCCAGGCACTTCCCACCCTCTGTGTAAAAACACTTGCCTCTCACATCTCCTTTAAACTTACCCCCTTTTCCCTTCAACCTATGTTCCCTACTGATTGATATTCCTACCCTTGAGAAAAAGACTCCAATTATCCATTCTATCCATGCGCTCATCATTTTGTAAAATTCTAACAGGCTGCCCCTCAGCCTCCAATATTCAAGTGAAAAAAACGCAAATTTGTCCAGTGTCACCTCACCTCACCTCACCTCTGAAATTCAACTCTGTTGTCTATGTTTGAGCCAAGGTACTAATGAGGTCAGGAGCTGAGTGGCCCTGGCAGAACCCAAACTGGGTGTCACTGAGCAGGTTATTGCTGAGCAGGTGCTGCTTGATAGCACTGTTAATGACACCTTCCATCACTTTACTGACAGAAGACTGATTGGGCAGTAATTGGCCGGGTTGGATTTGTCTTGCTTTTTGTGTACAGGACATACTTGGGCAATTTTCCACACTATCAGATAGATGCCAGTGTTGTAAGTGTACTAGAACAGCTTGGCCAGGGGTACAGAAAGGTCTGGAGCACAAGTCTTCAGTACTATTGCCGGAATGTTGTTAGGGCCCGTAGCCTTTGCAGTATCCCGTGTCTCCAACCGTTTTTTGATATCACATGGAGTGAATTGAATTGGCTGGAGACTGGTACCTGTGATTCTGAGCCATCTAGAGGACATCCCCAACAGCCAGAATAACATGGCTGGTGCCTGCTTCAGCTCAACGAAATAGATGACAGCCATTCATTGTTCTTTTTCTCAGGCCAATACCCTGACCAATCAAAGTCAAAATTCGTTTAAAATTTAAGATTCTGGCGGTTAACTGTCAATCAGCATTGATGAATGCATTTCCATGTCAACACCTGCACCAATGAGAACACCTGTGCCAACCAACCAACATTCGTCTGTCATACAGTGTAAATGTTGATTTTATTCTTGAATTGATTTTTTTTTGTGAAATGTCCTGATGAGTGTAAAATGTAAAGCTTTGACAAAATGTCTTTTTTCGCTACATGTATTTATTTTGAATTTTTTTTTTTTGGAAAGAACGTTTTGCAAAGGACATTGGCTGCAGCTTCAACAGTGTTTTATTTGTGAGGAACAAGCTGCTTGGATGGAGAAACCAAATCAGGAATTGTTTCAGAGAAAAAACATGTGTGGGTGAAAGAAATGGATTTGAATGCAGAAAGTCAGAGAGATGAAAAAAGCACAAATTGCTGGAAAAATCTCAGCAGGTCTGGCAGCATCTGTGGAGAGAAATCAGAGTTAACGTTTCGGGTCCAGTGTTGTTTATAAATCAGCGAGATATGTGTTTTGAGTGAGAGCCATTGCCCTCTCCTGCCTTCTCTACCTTTTCTCTCTGAAGCCTCATCAAAGTTTGTCAGTTGACCATCGACTTGGAGATTAGATCACAATTTCAAGGTTCTGAAAGGAGAATTTGGACGGTAACACCACTGTTTCAACAGAAAGTAACTTCAGCCAGCCAAACTGATCCAGGAAAACACTTCCCTGCCAACAGCTTTTGAGCAAAGTGACTTCAGCTTCAGACCACCATTTGGACAATTTGTGTCAAATTCTTTTTCCTGAATTTAATTGTCACTTAGCCAAAGCACTTTTAAAATAACACTTTGCAGAATTTTTACGTGTCTTTTTTTCTCCACTTTGGGAGGATGTACTTGTATGTTTGAGTGTGTGGCTTTGTGTTTGTGTGTTTATTGTGTCAGAATGTGTTTGTTTCTCTGAATGTGTTTGTGTGTACTTGTGTATGTTAGTTCTTAACATCATCTTCTGTGAGTTTTGTTTGTAGTAAGCTAGTTCTAGCCTATTATCACCTCCCTTTTTAAATTTATATTTTGTTGTGATCCATGGAGGAATGGGACAAAGGAAGGCATAAATTCAGTCCTAACACTGTGATCAGGACAAAGAGACCTTTGGATGCCTTGCTTTTTGCCTGTTCTCAGCATTCCCTTGCTGTTTCTTGCTGAAGTGCACCTTGTGAAACTGGCTGGTGCACATTTTTAGCACATTCCGTCACATTCATTTCTAGAGTTGGCTTTCCAAGCCCCTTGTTAATTTAATTTGCTTGTCTGAAGACCCAAGTCTGTCTTGGAGACAGTAAGGACTGGAGGTGCAGGAAGCCAGAGTCTCTAGGTGTGAAGCTGGAAAAGCACAGCAGGTCAGGCAGCATCCAAGGAGCAGGAAAGTCAACATTTTGGGCTGAAACCCTTTGTCCTGCTCCTTGAATGCTGTCTGACCTGCTGTTCTTTTCCAGCTTCACACCTATAGATGTAAGCATAGATAACAGGGTGTAGAGCTGGATGAACACAGCAGGCCAAGCAGTATCAGAGGAGCAGGAAAGCTGACGTTTCGGGTCTGGACCCTTCTTCAGAATGTAAGCTGTCTTGTTGATATTCGAGAATGGCCAAGAGTAAATCAGCTGTGCATTGCGAACACTGCCCAATATTGAATTCCCATGATTCCAATCAGGAGAATGTAAAACTGGCTTTCACCCAGGAATAGTTTCCCACTGGCTCTTTTTTTTGGGTGCATTATTATCGATGTTGCTCGGTTGGCCACAGAATCTGCTGTTCAGCCTCATCAAGATCTTTACCATCTCAGTTCCTTTTTCTCTTTATTTATATTTGCCATATTTCTTTCCTTCTCAGGAATTCTGGAGGCCTCAAAATGCTCTACAGCCTCTAAAGATTTTTTGAATAGTAGTAATGTAGGAACCATACCAACCAATTCACACTGCTGCATTCTTCTGTTATTGTGAATCTACCAATCATACAACACAGACTGGTTGAACAATAAACTGAGTACTTTATATTAAGATAAGGCTGTTTACAGATACAAGGAACTAGGAGACTTTGTGGGCACATCTGAGCTCTGTGACTGCTATTGTCTTCTGTCTATAGTCATGGGGTAACAGATCGTGCCCTGACTCACGATGGACAGGACATTCTGATTTACAGATATGCATTTCGGTATTTACAGTGCCTGGGACACTGAAGAATTCCTTTTGAATAGGACACTGGGATCTTTTGCAGCCATCTGTGAGAAATAGAATAAGTTAACCCTTTTCAGTATGGAATATCTTCCATAGTCAAAGAAGGGCAGCACGGTGGGTCAGTGGTTAGCACTGCTGCCTCTCAGCGCCAGGGACCCGGGTTTGATTCCACACTCAAACGACTGTCTGCGTGGGTTTCCTCCGGGTGCTTCGGCTTCCTCCCACAGTCCAAAGATTTGCAGGTTAGGTAGATTGGCCATGCTAAATTACCTATAGCGTTCAGGATGTGTAGGTTAAGTGTGTTAGCCTTGGGGAAATGCAGGGTTACAGGGATAGGGTGGGGTTGTGGGATGTTCCTTAGGAGGGTTGGTGTGGAGTCGATGGGCCAAATAGCCTGCCTCCATGCTGTAGGGATTCTATGATTGGAGATGTCTTTTATGACATCTGTAAAAATGGTAAATATAGCCAGGTCTCTATTTAATGTCTCATCTGAAATTTGATACCTCCAGCTGTACTCTGCCTGTACTAGATTGGAGTGACAGGCTAGACCTTGTGATTAAGTGCCTGAATTGCAATTTGAGTTGATAATCTTATGATTTTGAGACAGGTGTGTTCCCCACTGAATCATGGCATTGTGACCTTATTCAAGCATCTCATTTGAGTTGCTTTTTGAAAGATTTAACTAAATATTTTAACTCGTCAAATGTGATATTGATTCCCCTGCTTCTCAGTTGTTTTGTGTGTGCACCCAGCTTTCATCTCTGGCTCGTTAATTATTTACTTCTCAAACTGTTTGTTACGTTCTTGTGATCTTAAGTCACTTTCAGAAAAATAGTGGCATCTGATTAAAGAGCTGGATTGTGACCTGTATAATTCAGCAAGCATAAATAAAACCCATTAGCTTCAACATCTAGAAATTTGAGAGAAAGAGGGAGTTATTTATTCTGACCATATGCCAGACACCTGTAAGAGCAAGACACAGTCAGAATACATTACAGTTTTAGTGAACACAAAACCTCCCTCTTACCAAATGTGCTTTGACTGGTCTTGCTGAAGGCATAAATACAGTCTTCAATTGCTGTAGCAGAAGTAAAATTAATTGATGGTGAGTGAAATGATGTAAACCCATCATGATCATTTTAAGCAAACTGTTAATCACTGTGGTTTTGGGATGATCCACTGGGGAATCAGAAATTCAACAAGGCAAGAGAAGAATCAGAAAGTCTGGTGTAAATTCCTGCAATTTGTGACAAACTTTTGGACCAAAGGCAGCTGCAGTGGACACCAGTGCAAATTTCTGCTCAAATAATAACTTACTTTCCACTTTGTTTTTTTTCATAGTCTGTTCAGGCTCTGTACTGTTCCCCCAATTAAAATGGGCATGTGAATATTTGACTAGTTGTGGTGTGTAACAGCAGTCTTTGTATCAGATATGAAGGTTTTGCTGCGTTTACGTCACTGCATTCATTTCTGTTACAGTGCGGCTTAGGGATTTTGCTTTGTATGACTTTTTTAAAATGTCAGAATCATTTATAGGTAGAATAATTTAGACCAGTAGAAATCTAAATGTTCAGGATAGTTCTTATCTCAGTTAAAGTGCACAATGTGCTGTTACTAATGGATGCAAGACCTGGGAATTAGCTGGCTTGATTTTAAGTGTTAGTTAATGAGTTTTAAGTGAGTTAAAATCTCACCCAAGTGTTTTTAAAACTTCTATGGAGGTGCAGCAGAATCAATGAAAACTTACTTCATTCTTACCACAGGCTTCCAACATCTCTCAGATCTCAGGTCAGCTCACAATCTTCCAGTGACTGACAGCTCAGTTCCCAGTTCCCTGAGGCTGCCCTACACTCTCCATGTCCTCCCAAATCAGTGCCTAATTCATTTGTCTCAACCCTCACCATTTGCTCAAAATTGCTCCAAGCTCCTTCCTTTCCCACTGTGCCTGCTGTCTTGTGTATCCTCTTCCCAGTTAACCACCACCTTTCAAATTCCACATGTTCTACCGCCACTTCCAATTGCCAGCCTATTTCCCAAATTTCACTTACTGTGGAATATAAGGGCGGCACAGTGGCTCAGTGGTTAGCACTGCTGCCTCATGGCACCAGTGACCAGGGTTCAATTCCAGCCTTGGGTGACTGTCTGTGTGGAGTTTGCACGTTCTCCCCGTGTCTGCGTGGGTTTCCTCCGGGTGCTCTGGTTTCCTCCCACAGTCCATAGATGTGCAAGTCAGGTGGACTGGCCATGCTAAATTGCCCATAGTATTTAGGGTGGGATAGGGTAGGGAGTGGGTCTGGGTGTGATGCTCTTCAGGGGGTTAGTGTGGATTCAATGGGCCAAATGGCCTGTTTCCACACTGTATGGATTCCGTGCTACACCCTACTTCCAGATTCAGTTGTTGAAACGTAAAACATCATGCTGGTCACAATGGAAATGGCCATCTAATTTTGAAAATCAGAGTCAAGCATTTGTGTGAAAGAATTAAAATTTCACATCTTCAATCAGCATAATTCAGCAGCCCTGATGCACTGTATTTGACATGGCAAAAAATAATATGAATCCTTTAGCTCACTGGGAGTGCTGCCAGGGGAGATTTCCCCAGAATCATTTCCAAGTGATTGTTCTACATTTACTGTCTCATTGCAGCTGCCTTGCTTCTCAGCTGCTCATGTGTATTGTAATAGCTGATACTTGGAGAATGCTGGAAATAGGTCACTCAATATCGGTGAAGACAAAAGACAAGTTAATATCTCCAAACTGAAAAATGAAAGCACCTTTCTTTCACTCACAGTCTGTTGAGAGGTTCATTTCTAAAATGTGTCTTAACTCTGATGTGCTGGTTACTTTTGGCAATTTGTTACTTTTGTGCTATTTTTGATATTGTAAAATAAATGGCTATTTCCCTTCTGACTGAATCAGACAAGAGGCGTTGCACAACAATATCAGGCTTTTTGGCCCTTTGAGCCCATGCTGATTCTCTGCAACCTCATTTACAACCTTTTCCTCATTGCCCCACAGCCTCGTTCCCACAGATCCTTATCCAATTTCCTTTCGAAAGCCATGATTGAATCTGCAGCTACCACCCTGTCTGCTTTGCTCTGTCTTTGGGTGGCTAGACTGATGTGAAGGAACGTGTATTCTGTTCAGCAACAATGCTAATGACAACAGGGTATCAGCCAGGGGAGTTTATACATGAAGATTTGAGCGATGTTATCCGTTTCACTCATTCACAGGATCTATATGTCACTGACTAGGCCAGCATTTATTGCTCGTCCCTAGTTGTCCCTTGAGAAGGTGGTGATAAGCTGCCGCCAGCCCATGTGCTGTAGGTAGACCCACATGCCCTGTAGGAGGGAATTCTAGGAGTTTTGACCTAGCGACTCGAAAGAATGGTAATATATTTCCCAGTCAGGATGGCGAATGGCTTGGAGACAACATGCAGTTGGTGGTGTTCCCATGTATCTTCGAGATCGTAGTGCTCATGCATTTGGAAGCTACTGTCTAAGAAGCCTTTATGAATTTCTGCAGTGCATCTTGTAGATAGCACACACTGCTGCTACTGAGTGTCGGTGGTGGAGGGAGTGGATGCTTGTGGATGTCGTGCTAG